AATAAATTTGTTCAAGCCAAGTATTGTTTTTTCATAAAATAGATGTGGACAAGAAAAATGATAATAAAGAGAAGGTGTGAAAGAAGTGGAATGGTGAAGTAAAGTAAATAGTAACCTAACAACAACTGACATTACAATAAACTAGGCTAACATTTGTTTTAGATGCCATTTTCCACAGTATTCAGAAAATCTTTAATTTACCATGCTCATACGAAAAGAAATTAAATTTTAGAAACAGTATGGGGCCCAAGAAATATTTTTCAATCTGTAACAAATAGGGATTTTTTCATGGAAAGTGTGCACAAATGAGATTTATTGCATCAAACAAAAATTAACATGTGAGCCTAGTGAACTAGTGAATTTTTTTGATCAACGCGACAAGTGGATAAAAATTGTTCAAGCATTTTCCATGGTATGATGCTTCCATTTCATACATACTAAGTTTTTTTCTAACTGTCCAACAAAGATTGGAAGCTAACAACTGTGAAAATACATTGTTTGTTTCATTAGAGCCACAAATGATACTACTAAACAGTGTAAATCCCTATTTGTATTAAAATAAATTCCATTTCTTAACAATTCTGAAATAGAAGATTTAATAATTTTTCAAAGATTTAAAGGTGAGAAGGAAAAAAAAAGGTGATACTATATGATTATTTTTGACTGTTGACAAAGAAATTACAATTTAATATAGATCAAATAAAAAACCCTTTGAAGGTCCATTGCAACAGTTTCCAGTTCATACACATATACAAAGACTGTTTTATTTCCAATCCAACAAAAGCTGCCATAAGCAGGCATTGAAATATAAAAATCTATGATAATACAAATAGGGATTTTAGGGCAAAAGGGTAATTTATTTAGATCTTGTGAGTATAGTTGTCAGTTGGGTAACATCTCCTTGCAAGTGCATTGCCTTACCTCAACTTTTAATTTTTTTTTTTTTTTTCTATCAAAGAAATAAAAAATGTTTCAACTTAGGAGGGAGAGGCCACTCCTACACGGTGGATGTGGTGACCATGCCCACCACGTCAACCTTATTAAAAATATAGAATATGAATCAAAATGAAATCAACTGTCTCTCATTCATTTTATAAATGTAAATTTGCAGCAGATAAATTCAGCCATAACTGCAAATGATAATTTCTTACCAAGCCTGAGGGCCATACAAGAGAACATTTTCCTGAGTTCCTTTCAAAAACAGCGGATGGCCAATATTCCTCAGTAGAATTTGAGCAAGAAAAGTTAGCAAGTGATTCATTACATTGCAATTGGACTAAACTTTTTAGTTTTAAATTTGGTGCCTTTCAAAACAAAAATACATGGATTATGATCGTTTCACAGGAAACGGTCTGCATGGAAAAGTGCAGAACAAGTAAGAACCAGATCAGTGCTGGTAATTACCTCCATACTACCGTAGTTATTCGGTTATGAGGCGCACTCGGCTATAAGACGCACCCCCAATTCGGCAACTTCATTATTGCGTGTTTTCAAACTGAAAATATCGCTAAAATACTTGGTTATAAGGCGCATCGTTGTTTGGGGAGTAAAGATCGGTCAAGTTTATTGTAAATTCTTTCATAAACTTACAAAAAAAACGAAAAAAAGTCGCGTATTGATTTTAGTTTACCGTTAATTAACAAAAGCAGAATTGTCGCACACGCGACCACGCGCACAAACAAAAAAAGCTTGATTAAACAAAAGCAAAATGTCACACACATTTACAAAAGCCGAAAAATGTCACACAGTTAGTCACATGAGATAAATAAAAGGCAAAAAAAAAAAAAAGTCACACATTTAAATACAACCTATCGGTACATATTAATTTTTAGCCTTCCCTCTCGGGAAACATGGTTTTAAAGTATAAAAACAATTCGATCAACAAAATCAGTAGTCGCAAATTTACTTCACCTGGTGAACATCATCTTGCGAAGTCTACATTCAGCGCAATCATGCCAAACACTCGCCGTCATTCTAATGATCTCAACTTCAGGTTGAAAATCGTAATTGAAGCTGAAGCTGTTAACAACAATCGAGAGATAGCGAGGGAATACGGAATTTTCGAATCAATGGCTTCGAATCAATGGTTCGGCGATCTGAAGATGACAGCCAAGCGCGCTTCCATGGACCGTTACCGACCAAAAGATCCCGAACTTCATCAACTGCAGGCCGACTGGTTCGGTGATCAAAGGAGCCAAGGTAAGCAAATGCCTTCTTATCTAATACATGAAAGTTCACACGGCAACCAGGTGGACCATCAGACATAGTTTGATGCTACTCTGGTTTGCAGATTTAATGAATGTAACCGAAGAAGATACAATTCATAGACCCAACCTTTCGACACTCCTGTCTAGTGCCTTCATCAGGGGTGATCAAGACGCTGTAACTAGAGGTCCTTTTATATGATCACTAATTAGCGGCCTTTTTTTTTTTCTCTGAAGAGGTGTAAAAAGGCGTCAGGAAGCAAACCGCCATCGTCACGATCTAAACCTCCTCCCAAAAACATTCAAATGGATGTTTTCAATGCGCTTATAGCTCTCAAAAAGGATCCGGACAGGCTCGTATTATCTGCTGACAAGGGTAATTGTGTTGTGGTTATGGACAAACAGCAATATCACGACAAAGCTTTGTCTCTGCTTAATGACAAGAGTACGTATGCTGTCTTAAACTCTGATCCTACCAGAAAGACTCAAAGAAAGTTAAACAAAATGTTGCTTGATTTGAAAAAGCTGGTAAAATTAGTGACTCTCCGTACAAAATATTATACAGAAGTGACGGCTTTTGTCCACGTTTTTATGGCTTACCTAAAATTCATAAACCGGGAATTCCTTTGAGACCCATTGTCCTTTTGTTAATTCTCCGACTTATGCAATTTCAGGTTATCTTGGGAGAATTTTGTCGCCTGTTGTTGGGAATACTGATTACACGGATTTCAACCACAACGTTAAAGCTGCTCAAAAACCTTCTTAAAGACTTCAGTTAATATGCATTGGCGATGCGCATGTTTTGAACTAAAAACATACTTTAGTACCCACTGGAACGTATAGAGTTATGTATTTCTACTTGAACGTTAAGGACGTAACTGCCAAAAACCAGTTACAAATAGTAACGCTCTTGATGAAAGGGAACCAGCGACTAGTTTTGCTGTTATTACAGGGTGTTACGAATTAACTTATTCTACAACAGATGAACTCTATATTCCAAGACAGGATTACTTCCATATTTCGCTGCTTCGCGCAGGGTCCATAGCACATCGGATAGGATATCAGAGCGAGCTCTTATTTTTTCACTCGAAGGGCGGCCGATGTAGTTTCTGAGGCTTGCTTTATTGTGATGACCGGAGATCGCCATGATAAGTGAGCTGCGATGGACTTCAGTATGATCATATTTGCTCAGACACCGTCATGATTAGTATGAATTTTAACAGTTATGCCAGTTTGGTTATATTTTTCATTATTTCTGTTTTGTTCTGTTTTGTTTTTGAACTCTGAACTTTATATACTATACGAGTGTTGGCTGTGTTTGATTTTCATTACCGTACGTAAGCTTGCAATCTAACTGAGCGTGAAAATCTTTAAAACTTGGAATGTCTATTTTGTTTTTCCTTTGAGGATTTTCGTATCTGCCCACGTTTTAATAACGTAAATAACGGCGCCTGGTATGTTTACAAACCTTTCTTTGGTTCTTTTGTTACTACTTGCCGGCTCGCTTGTTCCGAAATTTCACTTTAAATTATCGGAAAAAAGCTAAAAAGAAGTCCCGGAAAAGGTCGAACATGGTACAATTTGGCAGATGGCGTGACAGCCTTAGCTCAGTTCTATGCTCTATACTCTCATAGAGCACGCTCTTTCAACCAATGACAGCGCGCGTTATATCCGAACTTTATTATAATGATTTAAGGCCATGTGATTTTGAATGTGACATTTCCACATCAGCGTGTTCTTGAACTTTTGTAAAGCCGGAAGTGATACTTCTCTATTGGAGCAGATAACTTCAGACACGTATTTCTCCAGAACTTCGTCAGGTATCCTCTTTCCCCTCTTTTAGTCGTATTTTTAAGCTCTGTAGGATTTTTTTCTAATGTGGAGTGCTTCGGATTTATTTTTAGGATGCGCAACGCTTAATGTCTTAACTTTACTGAATTCGTTTTACTCAAAAGGCTTACGTAGGTCAACATTGTTTCGTACTTATTATATCAGAATATAGTTTTTGCGTGAAAAACTAAAAATTGTTGAGTACATAACCATTACCTCCTCCTGAGAATATTAGTAAAGAAAGCACCAAAAATTGGACTAGATCTCCCCTAACCTGGGAGAGCTCTTTTTTTTTAATGTCGATGAAATACCGGATAGAGTATTTTCTCTATTATTTCTAATAAAATTTTTGCGTTAAAGAAAAAAAAATAATTGAGTACGTGACCAATGCATTCTTCTTAGAATATTGAAAAAGAACATTGAACATTGATCTAGATCTCCTCTAATTTATGAGAGCACTTTTTTTAAATGTCAATGAAATACCGTCAGAGTATTTTCTCCACATGTTTCTATACAATTTATGCATCTAAAAGTCTTTTAGCTCTGTTTCCTTTGAGTGATTCTTATTATTTATTCTGTCGGGGTCTCTTTTTCTGTAAAAAAGTAAAAAAAACAACAATTTGTTTCAAACTCAATTAAAATTGTTGATTGCTAATACAATTATACCAAGCTCAATATGTAAAAATATAACTGGCTAACATTTGTATGTGATTGGCAGAGGCCTTTCGAAATTTTATATTTACACTAGAGAGCATCTAAAGTAACTCTCCGAAAAGACCAAAAAAAAAAAAAATATATATATATATATGGATATATGTTGAACTAGCCTTGATGTTCAAGGTAACAAAGGATCCCCGCCGACGGTCAGCGACCGCTAAATCATAGCCACCTTCACACCTAATTTTAAATTAATTTGTGAAATATCTTTTTGAACTGAGTCTCACCTGGCGCGCCAAACTCTAATCTCACGTCATCTCCAATCAGCGTGAATGAAGCCCATTGAGACACTTGGGTAAAACCATTTTTTCTCATCCACTTCATAGCCTGGTGAAGAGACTCACTGGCACTTTCTCCTTCAACAAGGTGTTCGTAAAACCGACTCATCAGCTTCTCTGTTGCAGAGTCTGGAATGGCCCACAGCGCAACCAACACCGAGCGAGCACCGGATCCTAAGAACGCACGGGCAATTCCTATAACTCCCTCGGCTCTTATCTCTCCACTTCCACTGTGACAGCAGCTAAGTACCACCAGTTTAGCTCTGACTTTCACTCGTGAGACATCAGCCATCGTCAACATGTAAGCTTCCTTCGGGATAGCGTTTTGACTGTTGGGAGTAGGAATGGGGGAGAGTGCAATTTCTCCTCTTTCCGCGTTACCATGGGCAGCAAAATGTATCAAGCTCACTGAACTTATCCGCTCAAGTACCGCCTGCTTCGTTGCTTTCTCTTCAACTAGAGGCGGAACACCCATCAGTCGTCCGACCATCTCCGCTTCCTTTCTTGCAGCTGGCAATGGTTGCAGCCAATTAACCTTGGGATTGCCTGTTATCAAGGCACCAGTGTTGCTGTGATAGTCCTCTGGACTATCTTGAATGTTCTTGAGTGTTGTCAACGAAGGAATGATACGGATCTTATGAGTCTCTGACAAGTATTCGGCTCCTTCCTTTTCACTCAGGGCAGCAAAGGGAACTTTGTACAACCTGCGGTCAGGAACAATAATGACTTCAGGCTCATCAAGCAAATCATAAACGGGGGCAATGAACATTTTGTAACATAAATGTAAACTTGAAATCACTTTCTCGTCCTCGTCCTCGTCCTCCTCCACGAGTCGTAATCTTGCTGAGCTCTTTTGCGCGGGGGAGAGAGGTTGCAATTTAATCGTATTTAAAGACCGATCTTCACAATCTTTAGGGGGCAAAATACCAAGGCTCCGGAAATTATCATCCAAAAATTGACTCAAAGACAAATCTTTGGGTAACCCAGCCTGAACTAGATTCTCTTCTGGTGATACTCTTCTATAGTGAAGGACTCCACTTGTTTTCAAGATCCACAAATGCAGACAATTCTGAAAATAAGAAATGTACAGGCAAGCACAGTTTTTTTTCTTTCTTAAAATGTTCTCAATGCCAAACCAAGATTGTGGATTAGCAGAGATGTGCGTTTCAACCGAGTACTTCTCTGCCATTAAGTCTGATAGGCCTCTAGCTCGACCCAACTCCTCAACATAAAGAGCATCCCGAGCATTTCCGGTGTCACAAAGCAAAGTACAAAGCAGTTTGTAGGGAAATATTCCTGTGTGCTCCAGAAATGATGTTTTGAACTGATCATTGGCGCCCAAGAAATATCTCAGCTCCTCATACTTTCCAATGCACAGATGAAGACACGACAGGGAGTCTTTGATTTTATATTGGTATAAATACAAAATGGCGTAACTTCCAAGGATTTCGAACTCTTTTCTTCCATCTCCAATATCTCTGGATATGAATAAAGCTTTCTCTAAGTATACTTCCGAAGCTTCAAAATCACCAACAGTTCTAAACACATTTCCAAGGTTTCCATAACATGATGCTTCCCCTTCTCTGTCGCCAATTTCAGTTCTAATGACAAGCGCTTTTTGGAGATACTCTTTGGCCTTGTCGTATTGGCCAAGCGACACAAACACAGTACCTAGGTTTCCATAACATGATGCCTCCCCTTCTCTGTCGCCAATTTCAGTTGTGATGACAAGCGCTTTTTGGAGATACTCTTTAGCCTTGTCGTATTGGCCAAGCGACTCAAACACAGCACCAAGGTTTCCATAACATGATGCTTCCCCTTTTCTGTCGCCAATTTCAGTTGTGATGACAAGCGCTTTTTGGTAATACTCTTCAGCCTTGTCGTATTGGCCAAGCGACTTAAACAAAGCACCAAGGTTTCCATCACATGATGCTTCCCCTTCTCTGTCGCCAATTTCAGTTCTGATGACAAGCGCCTTTTGGAGATACTCTTCAGCCTTGTCGTATTGGCCAAGCGACACAAACACAGTACCAAGGTTTCCATAACATGATGCTTCCCCTTTTCTGTCGCCAATTTCAGTTCTGATGACAAGCGCTTTTTGTAGATACTCTTCAGCCTTGTCGTATTGGCCAATCGACTTAAACACAGTACCTAGGTTTCCATAGTCACTTGCCTCCCCTTCTCTGTCGCCAATTTCAGTCGTGATGACAAGCGCTTTTTGGAGATACTCTTCAGCCTTGTCGTATTGGCCAACGGACAGAAACACAGTACCTAGGTTTCCATAACATAATGCCTCCCCTTTTCTGTGGCCAATTTCAGTTCTGATGGCAAACGCTGTTTGGAGAAACTCTTCAGCCTTGTCGTATTGGCCAAGCGACTTAAACACAGTACCAAGGTTTCCATAACATGATGCTTTCCCTTTTCTGTCGCCAATTTCAGTTGTGATGACAAGCGCTTTCTGGAGATACTCTTCAGCCTTGTCGTATTGGCCAAGCAACGTAAACACAGTACCTAGGTTTCCATAACATGATGCTTCCCCTTGTCTGTGGCCAATTTCAGTTCTGATGACAAGCGCTTTTTGGAGATACTCTTCAGCCTTATCGTATTGGCCAAGCGACTTAAACACAATACCAAGGTTTCCATAACATGATGCTTTCCCTTTTCTGTCGCCAATTTCAGTTGTGATGACAAGCGCTTTTTGGTGATACTCTTCAGCCTTGTCGTATTGGCCAAGCGACTTAAACACAGTACCTAGGTTTCCATAACATGATGCTTCCCCTTCTCTGTGGCCAATTTCAGTTGTGATGACAAGCGCTTTCTGGAGATACTCTTTAGCCTTGTCGTATTGGCCAAGCGACTCAAACACAGTACCTAAGTTTCCATAACATAATGCTTCCCCTTCTCTGTGGCCAATTTCAGTTGTGATGACAAGCGCTTTTTGGTAATACTCTTCAGCCTTGTCGTATTGGCCAAGCGACTTAAACACAGTACCTAGGTTTCCATAACATGATGCTTCCCCTTCTCTGTCGCCAATTTCAGTTCTGATGACAAGCGCTTTCTGGAGATACTCTTCAGCCTTGTCGTATTGGCCAAGCGACTCAAACACAGTAGCTAAGTTTCCATAACATAATGCTTCTCCGCTTCTGTCGCCAATTTTGGTTGTTATGGCAAGGGCCCTCTCAACATATTCCTTTGCTTTTAAGCTTTCGCCAAGTCTATAAAGCATAATTCCATACTCTCTGTATAAGTCAAACATTTTCCTCCCGTATGTTTCCGCACTTATGTAGTCAGAGATATGACGATAAGCGCTGAAAAGAATGGTATAGATGTCGCTGTAAAATTGTAGCAGTGCCGAATCAAATTGGTCTTTGCTGTTTTGATCGGTGCAAGTTAGCAAAATCAAACATTCGCTGCATATCTCAATGGCTTTCTGAATGCGATCTGAGTTGAGCAAGAACAGGGCAACAAGTAAGGCGATGCTCATGAAAGATGTCATGGCTTCTGCGGTTAGGTTTCCATTGCAATCCTCTCCTGTTATCAGGGAAACATTATTTTTATTAACACAATACTAAACAAGAAAAGAAAAGAAAACGGACGGAGTGGATCGGTAATTTGCTCGAACATAACCACATCACTGGTCTTACCTTTGAAGACGTTAATCCAGTGACTGAAATATGGCAACAAGCAAATGATATCAGAGATAGGAGGTGGCTTGACTTTCAGTAATAATCAATAGTCATACTTAATAGTACTTCATATTTCTTTTGAGGAAGGGAGAGGTGGGGGATAAATTTCGGTTTTGTACGTCACACTTTTGTGACCAATGATAGAATTGAATATGTAAAAATAAATTATTTAATTCTTTTTTTAACAGGAAACGTCAGGCTTCTGTGTCCATCCATTTCGAAAATTGAAATTTAATTACAAGATCGATACCAACAGAACCAAAGCTTCTTTCTTTAAACGGTAAGCTATCTGTGAGCGATAACCAACTTTTCATGAACTGATATGGAAAACCGATCCGTAGTTTACTCCGCAGTGAATCTATTTCGGTTTTGTACGTCACATTTTTATAACTTCAAATCGACCATCTTTCGTTCCCCATACAAGTCCTTATGACGTGTTCAACTCTGGTAAGTTAACACCGAGTCATACAACGCGTGACGCTTTCATGAATTAATCGTTTGCTTTTTCTCGAGTGTGAGCTTGGGCCGCCTCTGTTGACATCAGTAAAGGACATTCTGCATGATTGATCACGTGAATGCTGAACAATCTTAGTTACATTCTGGTTGAAATTTATTGTATGAAACCTTAACTGTTTTAAGAAAGCCATTTAACGGTGGAGATATGAAGCATCCGATCAACGGAAAAGTACACCTATACTACGTATGCAGTAACATTGAATTTAAGAAAGTCTTAGTTTCTCTCAGAAAATTAAAACATCTCTCTTCGTGAGCGCGCAGCGTCATGACTTATCTTCTTATGCGAGGCTCTAGCGCTTAAGCAGACAAAAAAACAGATTACGGCGTTTAGAAAAATATGTACCGTAGAACCCGACGCTAGTATCTAAAAATTTAAGTGAATGGTGTTTCGACCATGAAACGTTTGTGTACAAGTAGAAAACGGAAATTCAATTGGAATCTACCGCGATCTCTGAATCGATCGTTAAACTCTCCTAAAACAGTGTCAAGTTAATAGCCAGTGCAGATCATAGCCTCTGGAAAACCACGTAATGAAGCACTACGGATTTCCTATGATGTCAGCGTGGGACAGTCTAGTTTTATGATCATCAATTTCTCAAATTGAACGATACTCAATAACCTTGTTTTAGTTAATGAGGATAAATTATACGATATAAAGCCACAGAGATTTCAAAAAGTCGCCGTAGAATCAATTTATTTCACGGTGGTGACGATTCAATCGCGCCATCAACCGCTTTAACGAAGGGCTAACACTCGAAACGTAACATATTGCAAACATAAAGATCAGGTACTGGATAAAGTAAATAATAAAGGGATAAAGTAGGTATTGGGCTTTGCCATAAGAGCCTTACCTCTCTACAGTTACTAAATGACTAAGGCTGATAAAAACCGAGTGACTAGAAAAGATTTTCAATCGCACTTACCAAGATGTTGACAATGTGGCTGATGCTTTCAAAATGAAACAACAAAAATAACGAATTACTTTTCCCAACCTTCCGAAACTTCCGCTGTCACAGTGTTTAATGCATCCAGATCACGTGCGTTCAGGATATTCCCTTCCCCCTCGGGGCTAATCGAAATAAAAGGAAAAGTTTTAAATTGCATATTTTTTTGTGTGCCCGTATGCCCGTCTATCGCGTCCCATTTAGGTTAAAAATTTTTAACAGTTAGTGGTCATATGATAAAATGCTTATTGACAGAATTTGGTGGGACCAGTGGGGAAAATATTAAGCTCAGGGTCATGAAGAAAGGACCTCGCTGCGCCCCCTACCACTCACTAAGTACACAGTATTTCGGTTTCGTACGTCACACTTTTATCAGTCATGATGTAATTGAACATGGAAAATGAAAAGTGTTATTCTTTTTCCAACAGGAAATGTCAGGCTTCAGTGTTTACCCCTTTGAGAGGTTTGATTTTCATCATAAGATCAATCACAGTACAACCTAAGTCCCTTCCTTTTAATGCTAAGCTATCTTTGCGTGATAATAAACTCATTGTCTTCGTGAACTTTTCATTTTCTAGCGGGTGTGATTTGCATGATCGAAGCCAAAACTACTAAAAAAAACCAAGTGACTGTAATTCGGTTTTGCAAGTCACACTTTTATAACTAATGATGGTTATAAAATAATTGAGATAGTTCGCACGCTCTCAATAGGCCAACTAGTTAGTTTAGATGAGAGTATGTAAACACAGCTTGTTTGGACGTCACACTTTTAACGTTTGCCGGCGCAATTTGAAAACATTTCAAACTCAAAGTTTTCCCAATGCTCGCACAGTAATCTCAAGTGTAAGCGATAAATATTGGAATTGGAGAAGTATGTGCCAATTTTTGATCTAGGGTTTGACTTCCATCCCTTCCCCAGTGAGGAACAAGAAGGAGGAAAAAGAGGAACTAGCACTCTTTTGCCTGCCTTGATGACCATGAACTGTGTGGCCTAGTCGAGGGAGTTCAGTTAAAGACGACAAATATGCAAAAAAATGCGCAGAAAACATCGAAATGTAAGGAAACAAGGAAAAATTCTGGAAAGAAACATTTTGTTCTACGCGCCCTACTTTCAAAGAAACACTTGGAAAACTGTATATCACTGAAAAGCTTATAAAGTATCGAAGAAAGTTTTAAAAGTTTGTTTTTTTCCCAGCAAATTTAATTTCAATGTTTTCTCTAAAAAAAGAGTAAATAAAATGGAAGTTTGAAATTTGACCAGATCTTGTTGACAGTAACCTCAAATCAAAACTCACAATTTAAGGCAGTAACAAAACAGTTTTTTTGTTATTGCCTTCGCTACATTACAAAACTGAAGAAACCGTTTGTTCGTTGCGGCTGAACGAAAACAAAAATCATGCTGCCTAGGTCTCGAAGGCAGGGTAATTAATTTAGTTTTCAAAAATGACATTTAGTTGCCCTTTTGCTGTGCCCTGAGCAAACGCTGGTCCCGCGTAAAAATGCCGAGTTAATCAAGTCGATTTTGAAATTAACGCAGGGGTCATATCATCGAAAGAACTCGGTGACACTGATTGCAAAGTGAGAAACTTTCAAAGTGTGGCTGCATTTTTCAAGATAAACAAACAGTGACGTGGCTTGATTAAATTTCCTGAACTTAAGAGTCATCAGATATATATTGACAACTGACATACTTAGACGTTAAGTCAAGTACATATGTATTCAAATTGGGGAAACTTTGTGTAAATATTGGTTGAAAGCGAAGGTAATTGATTAATTACCAAAATTACCGACCAATTGCCTAAATTTAGATAGATTTTGCTTTTTGGAAGTTTCTCAGATATCACTGGCTAATTTTCAGCTGGTTAAGATGTCACTTTTTTACCTATGTATTTTCTACCCTTCTTTAACTTCATTCGTTTGCAGTTTATCACTTCTCTTTATCGGAATAGTGGTTAAAATATCCGTGCTTATCTGTTCAAGTTACCAAATTTTCCAGCTTTTGCATGATTCAATTCTGATCTATTCAGATTCACTGTAAAAAGGAAATAAACAACTGGTTTCCTTGGTTTCCCATCCTGTTATCACTGAAAACTTTCCACTTGAATATTCTCTTCGCATATCTTTTTTTCCTCTAGTTGCTGCTTCCTGTTCTCTGTTTTTGCACTTAGCTTGTTTTGAAGCCAAAACAAAGGTAAAAATACAAAATATACCACTGAAAGATATTGAAAACGTAAGTAATTAGAAAAAAGGCTTTAGAATGGCAAATTACGAAAATACGCGGTCATTCAAGGCTGCTGTTTCTCAGTGAAGGCGAGGCCCCTCTTTGATGAGGAAAATGGCTGTTGTTCAGTTGTGTATTTTAGCGCTGTTTGTGGCTTCCACAAAGAGTAGTAGTATGTATTACATGTATTTTAATATGATCATACTCGATGGCAAAAGAAATTACTATGTTTTCTACAACTACAATGAGTCCGCGGACACACTGGAGTTTATGGTGCAAATCAGTTTAAGTTGGTTTCGGTGTTGCTGAAGTAGCATCAAATAAATATATGTTATTTGCCAGCCCACGGCCTCGGGTGGACTGACTTAGACTGGTGAATAACATCTTTACTTTTTCCTTAAACTGAACTAAATTCCTTCCAAAACATCCCGAATGATTTAGGGCTGTAATTACAGCAAGATCCTCCATAAATTGAGCAATATTTGAGCGGGTAAATGATAGTTAAAATAGAGGTGATGCAAATTAAAGAGAGATGCTGCATCAAAACATTTCCATGTACGTAATGAACAAGATAAGGGTGATTTAAAAGGCTTCCTAACAAACTTTGAAACATTTTTACAAGTATCTGTCACAATCTGACACAAGTTAATTGAAGAGCGCGTAAGAAAAAAAAAGGGCATGTACACTTTTGAAAAAACAACCAAACTAGTTTAGCAAGGACTGTCACGACAATGTTTTCTCCAAAAACAGTCAATGATCTGACGGAAAGTATTATTCACTCTCGTCGACGATTAATTCATGTGCGAAGATTTACTGCTGCTCATGAAGTAAATGGCGAGGAAAATAATTGCAAGTAAAATTCAAATTTTCTATTTTGAAGTTGTAAGAGTTTGCTCGTTTGTTTGCTGCAATGGCGTGTGTAAATCTGGTCTTTCCTTCACACAAAATCTAAATTCGAATGAGCTGAGACACTTCAACGAGACACAAGGGGATTTAATGCGTATATTTGTTGTAGAACTGAAAACTTCCCTCGTCCTTTTACAACGAACAAATTGTTTGACAGAACTAGGATATTAAATGAATGAAGGTTCCATCGATTAATTCAATTTTGGCCAAA